CCAATTGGGGGTACTTGTACCCCTATTGGTCTGCAAGTGCATTGCAAGGTGTACATGAAAATATATTATAGTTATAATAACTGAACTTTATTAATCTCAAACTGGAGAAATTTACCTCTGTATTAAACCCATCCCCTTTGGGGAGCAGTGGGCTGTTATTGCAGGGTGCCCAGGGAGCAGTTTTGGGTTAATGGTCTCAGAAGACTACTGGGGGTACTCATGGTAAGACAAAATCCCCAAAGGGCATGGTTAGGGCATAGAGCTTGGAATCCTTAGGTTCTGAGTTCAAGCCCAGCTCCCACAGACTGCCCCTCTGGGTTCCTGAGCAAAGACCCTTAACCCCACACTGCTCCCCTGGTTAAATGCAGAGGTAAATTTCTCCAATATAAGATGAATAAAGTTCAATTATCAATTTTTATTATGAATAAATGTAAAAATCTTAGCAATTACATTCTCAGTTTTGAAAGAAATTATTATTTCTTCTGTTTGTTTTTTTATAGTCAAACTTAACAAATCCCAAAAATTCAAAATTGTAATGAATTTTTGATATATCTGCTGCAACATCTATCTTTCCAGTAGTCTCAAACACATCCGTATTATTGTAGTAGTTGTATTAGTGTACTTAGGTAAATAGCACCAACTCAGTGCATGCCTGCACTTAACACTTATCTAAAAGCAACACTGCTGCTTTCTGTGAATGCTATTAGGAATGCTGAAAGCATTTCTGTCCCTTTGGAGCTTATTACCCCCCTGTAGTGTTTAAAACCAGGCTTTATATGGCTCTACAATTCTTAAGAAAGTGCTGAAGGAATGTATTTCTAAAAGAATGAAATCTTTTCACAGTCAGAGTTTTAAAATGTTGTGCTTTGACATAATAGTTGATATTCCATTGATGCAGTCTGCTTTTTGAGCATTTCCGTTACTGCTTTTTTTCCTGGTCCAAAAACTGCATTTTAGGGCCCTGCTCTGGCTCAGAACTGAACAAAGCCAAACAGGGCAGTGAGGTGACATAATCAGACTGCTGGTTATTGATTGGTAATGGGTGGGTTCGGCCAAACGATAACAGCAGCAAGATGGGAAGAAACGTTGGGCGAGGTAGTAAAGAGAATAACAAGCCACAGATTTTACAGTACACAGCAGTGCAGGGAAAAGCTGAAAACACACACTCGAATGACTGCAAAACTAAGCCAGGACCACAATAGTGAAATAAAATAAAACTAAAATCAGTGTTTTAGTAAATGTTTATTTACCTGGCATGTTCAGGATCAAAAGTTATGTCTTATAGGCTCACAGCAAACCGTAAAGCAATTGTAACAACTTTAGGAAAGAGTTTACGCATTTACAAATCATAAACCATAGCTGAACAACTAAATGCAAGATTTGTAATATGTTTATAAAACAAGTTGGTAGACCTTGCTGTTAATAAGATTGTGGTATTCCACAGTGAGCTAGTTTATTAGTTATTAATATGCATCTAAGAACAAACAGTGACAAACTGATGTCATGCTGACCTATAGAAGCCAAAGAGGTGAAATGTGAAAGAAAAAAAATATATTATTCAAATCAATTTAGTCTTAAGTTAGGTGCAAATCAACTTGCTTCATGCACAGCAGTGCTGCTCTGAAACCAATGCCTACAGTGGGGGTCCACTGGAGTTTCCCCCTTTGTCTTGAAAAAGACCTTGTTATCATCTTGCATAAACATAGTTTGACATTCTGGCATCATAAGTAACTTTGTTACACTAAGGAACAAAATGTAACTGCTTCATCCCTGACAAATTTCCTGAGAACATAACATTCTGGCCATTGAGGCTGGCCAATAAAGCCTCTCTCTTCACATAGTCCAATTTAGATAACTTTATCTTATAGCTGAGCTGCACTTATAGCCAACAGTTTCTGCAAACAGCAGAACATCACCCTTTTAAAAATAGAATTTTATACATTTTAGGACCTAAAACACACTGACAGTTTAAAAAAAACTAAGTATAACAGTAGATCCAAACATAGATGTTTGCAGATGGTCTGGTTCCTAAAAAAAACTTTTTTTAAAGTATGAATTCCAAACTAGAGGTACATATGCATTCAAGAAGCACTGTTCATAAAATATATAACTTTTGAGTTTAAAGTTAGCCAAGAAAATCTATCTTGACTTGATTCTGACCATTTTAGCCTATTTGGCTCTACTCATTGACTGGCTGGTCAGACACTAAAAAAGGGAAATAAATGTATTTTCCCTAGTTTGTGATTACTGTGCCCTAAAAGCAACCACGTCAGGCAGAAAGCAACACTCCTTGTGTTCTGAAGTTGTGACTTTAAGAAGAAAACTCCAAGCTTGCTATTCTCAGCATCAATAAGATATTCAAATGCAAAGACATAGGGAGCACAGACATGTTAAAGCTATATTAGAAAGAACCATGAAAGGGCTCCTCTGCTTCATTGAGGTTGTGAAAAACCAGAGAGCCAAAGACCATCAGAGGATTACAAGAAGGCTAAATGAAGTAAAGCAAAGCTCTTCTCTGTACTATTGAGCTTTCAGCCTCTGCCTGGATTTAGAAAACATGATGAGAGAAGACTGCTTTAGCTTCACCCCTGCTCCACCTCCTGTTGTAAGAAAGCTCAGAGCCGCACCTTCTATACATGAGTGCAACCACAAAGCAAGTAGTTTGATTTGATTGAATTGATTTAATTAAATCAGCCAAAACCTGTTAATTTAAATGTAATACCTTCTTTAAATTAATGCTCAATAATTTTTGGGAGTAAAATGAGTAAACAGGGCTCATTTTGCCCCCTTTTCACGCCCCCTTTTACTGTATTTATTGCTAGGGTTTACATGATATGGATATAGAATTAGTAACATTGGCAGTTTAGGGAAAACAAAGGCCTCATGTCCACTTTTAGTCCCAGAGGACGAATCAGAAGCAAATTTTGAATCACCAGGTAAATCTATATATATATATATATATATATATATATATATATATATATATATATATATATATATATATATATATATATATATATATATATATATATATATATATATATATATACACTATATTGCCAAAAGTATTTGCTCACCTGCCTTGACTCACATATGAGCTTAAGTGACATCCCGTTCCTAATCCATAGGGTTCAATATGACGTCGGTCCACCCTTTGCAGCTAGAACAGCTTCAACTCTTCTGGGAAGGCTGTCCACAAGGTTTAGGAGTGTGTTTATGGGAATTTTTGACCATTCTTCCAGAAGCGCATTTGTGAGGTCGCACACTGATGTTGGACGAGAAGGCCTGGCTCTCAGTCTCCGCTCTAATTCATCCCAAAGGTGTTCTATCGGGTTGAGGTCAGGACTCTGTGCAGGCCAGTCAAGTTCATCCACACCAGACTCTGTCATCCATGTCTTTATGGACCAAACTTTACACTTGGCACCAACTTTCTGCAGAGTCAATCACTACAGACCTCCAAACTTCATGTGGTCTTCAGATTAGCTCAAGAACAGTGCGCAGAGAGCTTCATGGAATGGGTTTCCATGGTCGAGCAGCTGCATCCAAGCCATACATCACCAAGTGCAATGCAAAGCGTCGGATGCGGTGGTGTAAAGCACGCCGCCACTGGACTCTAGAGCAGTGGAGACGCGTTCTCTGGAGTGACGAATCGCGCTTCTCCATCTGGCAATCTGATGGACGGGTCTGGGTTTGGCGGTTGCCAGGAGAACGGTACTTGTCTGACTGCATTGTGCCAAGTGTAAAGTTTGGTGGAGGGGGGATTATGGTGTGAGGTTGTTTTTCAGGAGCTGGGCTTGGCCCCTTAGTTCCAGTGAAAGGAACTCTGAATGCTTCAGCATACCAAGACATTTTGGACAATTCCATGCTCCCAACTTTGTGGGAACAGTTTGGAGCTGGCCCCTTCCTCTTCCAACATGACTGTGCACCAGTGCACAAAGCAAGGTCCATAAAGACATGGATGACAGAGTCTGGTGTGGATGAACTTGACTGGCCTGCACAGAGTCCTGACCTCAACCCGATAGAACACCTTTGGGATGAATTAGAGCGGAGACTGAGAGCCAGGCCTTCTCGTCCAACATCAGTGTGCGACCTCACAAATGCGCTTCTGGAAGAATGGTCAAAAATTCCCATAAACACACTCCTAAACCTTGTGGACAGCCTTCCCAGAAGAGTTGAAGCTGTTCTAGCTGCAAAGGGTGGACCGACGTCATATTGAACCCTATGGATTAGGAACGGGATGTCACTTAAGCTCATATGTGAGTCAAGGCAGGTGAGCAAATACTTTTGGCAATATAGTGTATATATATATATATATATATATATATATATATATATATATATATGTTGCATTTGTGAAAACTCCGAAAGCTGACTTAATACTAGCAGATTATTACCACATCATTACACATACTCTTTCTTAATTGTGCTGTTTTAACATAAATATTGCTATATTAAAGTCATCTGTATTCCTCTGCCTGTGAGCTCCCTCCATGCTGCCTGATCCTGGAAAATGACAATGTAATTTCTGCTCCATTTATTCCCCATCCCAGAGCCAAGCGTTCTCATTCACTCCTCGAGCCTTTACAGACTCCCCGCCCTTACCTCTCATGCTGAGCCAATATTGTACTTAAATCTCATGCTCCGATTGTCATGGATGAACCCTGTATGGGACAATTAGGTACACAGCATAATTATATTGGCACCCTGTGTTCAGACAGAACACCCTTTGAACAGCTAAAGTGTTTACAGTGGGAGAAACCCAAATATAAATTACAGGCGGTCACCAAAGTCTGGCATACTGTAGGGAATAATAAACAGCGCCGGCCGCCAGTCCCTCTGTGATGAGACCCTTCTCTAAACTATGAAAAAGGTAATATGTGTGCATCTTTGTTACAAACAACTAAATGTTTCATGCCAGGGCTATTGAGTACAAAGTGTACCAGACCCACAGTAACAAAGTGTATACACCCAAAAGCACCGATTTGTTACAAAACACCAACCTTGATGGCTCGGAGAGCTCTGATTGGTTGATTGCTGGAAGCTTGGACGAATTAGATCAGCCTGTCGATGATTGGAGGAGCGGTCTATGTTGTCCTGCTGAAATGAGGGAAAAGGGGTAAAAATTTAAAATGAAACCCTTAACTGACAATAGATTAGAGACAGGTCGGTCAGATGTTGTACAATAACCAAAGACTTCAGATAATAACTGCTATACTAGTTATGTCAAATGGTACATAAGTCACAATGCTGCATATCTAAAAAGAAATACCCCGGTGGAAGTGGGCAACAGATCCAGAAAGATGAAAGCATATATATTTTTGTAAAAACATTATTTTATTTTTTTTTTGCAATCTTACATTGAAGAATAACAACAACAAAAAAGCTTAAGCTTATTTGATGAGGAAACAAACATGTTAAAAACAGTCTTTCACTGGTGTTACACTTGTTGCCACCATTATGAAATGTTTTTCTAAATGCCTTTTGTTTTAGAGATCTTTTATCCTGGTTGATTCAGTCCGGTAAAGAGCTAGAAGAGCTCAATTTCAAAGGCAAGTTTTCTATAGAATATAGGTCTAGGGACTTAGGGCCAATAAATACCATAATGTAAATAATCAAAAACAATAATGGTGCTTGTTTTGGATTTTTACTTACCAGTTCCCTCCAGCAACAAACGATTTCATATTTTTTGGTAACAGTATTAGATTTATTGTTAATCAAGCACCCTGAAAGAGAATCAGGCTCTCAGAATGACAGAGAGCTAGATTATGCTTTGTGTCAGTCCCACCTGTTGAATATCCCTTTAAATTTGATTCTTTTAGTCTCTTCTGGCACACCGCTCTTGTTAGAACCACTAACATAGAAGTTAATGTTAATACTCCTGAACAGCTATTTTCTTGTAGCTTAATCCCTATGTAAAAAGGTGAAAACAAATCTTTATCATACAATGAGGTAAAGTTATAGCTGAATGAAAGTTATGAATGAAAATGTACAAAAAAGGTCACCAAAGGTGAGAATTTGTCCATTTTTGACAGAATAAAGATCACAGTTGTTTGTATCTAGAGTTGTCCTCGTGATTAACAATTACCATTGTCAGCTCCCCAATGAGGCAGTGACCTAACCTCATCCAGTCACCAAGTTCACATCAATATAGCCCTACTTGTTTTTTTGGGGTGGAATAGTGTTCAACTAAGGTGTGTAGTCAGGACAATTTGAGACAGATTTTTATCAGTATCAAATCTGAACCATTACTAGGGCTAGGCAATTAATTGCAATTGCAATTTAATAAAATGTAATTTTTAAATCGCAGAGATACTTCATTTTGGTCACAAAGGTAGAGAGAGTGGCACTTTTTCATAGAAAAATTACAACACAGTCCTGCAACAATGGACTTTAGACAAGCAAGCTTTCAAGATCATGAAAAACTGCAACCCAAAAATAAAACGTCTACAACCTCGTGGTTAGCGCAAAGGCGAGTCAAAATAAAATCGCAATCACAATATTGGTTAAAAGTCATCCCACTTTTACATTTTGGCAAAATAGTTCAACCTTGATTTGGATCTCTGGCCGATGATTGGTGCATCTTTACCAGGAAGTGATGTATTGTGTTGTTTTCACAACTGTCTTGGCACATTTCACTTTATATTACAAACAGAAAAAGCTGTGACAATAATTTCTACACTGATATCTGATTGAAGTGAAGCATTAGACCACATGATGGCAAAATGATTACATAGCAGAAATGCCCAACGCTTGTTTTTTATGTACCTGGGAAAAACACATCAGTGGCTTTTTACCTTTGCATTTTCACATATATGCAGGTCTGTCCCATGGAGTGAAAAAATAACAATTAAAATCTCAGACACTCATGTGATCTCAAGTCCTTAAAGAGGGCTGTAATGGGACAGAAGTGAGGCCAAGTTTGGACAAGAATCTCACAAGAATCCTTTCATAATAAAGAAAGTTAAAAGGAGCTCAGAGGAGTCAAAAGGCTGAGGGTTCAGAATTTTAAAAGGGGTCAGGAGAGGGTTATAAGCAAGGTTAAGGAGTGGAGAGCAGGGCAGTCACAACGTTGTGGAGGTTGAGTCTAAAACAAAGGGGAATAAAAAAGCCTATATGTCGAAACTAAGCTTTCTGAAGAGGTCACAGTCAGGTTGAATGTAATGACTGCGGTTTGGTGGAGGACTGAACTCGTCAAGGGGTTTTAAGGTGAAAAGGAGCATCTGATATGGATCCAAAACAATAACTTTACACTGGTTCGGATAGAGGTGTGTACAGGTCAAATTATGTCATTTCATTGCTCTGCCAGGTTGTTTTTCACTGCTTGTATCTTATAGGCTTTTCTTCCCTTACAGGCGGTATATTTTTTATAAGTTATACAAACTTACATTTTCCCTGCAATGTAATTCCCATGCTTTACTTACCCACTATGCCCAACTATCTATCACCTTCAAATAACTTTTTTAATTTGAGTTATATATTAAGCTATACAAGTGCATAGTCTGCATAGGTTCAGGAAAAAGAGAACAAAACAAATTTATAGTGAGAAATAGGTATATATTAGTCACATTTTTGCTTTAGTAAAATTTAGAAAATAAAAAAAGTAAACCTAGACAAGTTTGCAAGACACTTAATGTTCAGTGTAACACCAAAATGATTCAGCTATATGCAGCTCTAACACAGCAAAAGTGAATGTTTATCCAAGTGCTCCAACAAAGATTTAGAGGGGCTGACTGCTCGTTTAGAGAACATCTTGTTTCTTTGGCAAAAATTCCTTAAGATCTGCTTGCATAGCAGTTCAGCGTGTCACTTTAGCTTTACTTCATCGGATGAAGAAATAAGTCACACTATCATTGCTAAAAACATTAGCCCAATGCATTACATGCATCAAGCATTAATTATCACCCAGCTAATCTTTAGATTTGGACCTATATAACATCTTTGTACAGATCTATATGGAAGGATTAAAAAGTAAAAACAATCCTTCATTATCAGTATGAATATTATTACAACAACCCAAACTGTTCACAAAATTATAAAAAGGTGATGCCTACTTGTATTTAAGAGTCCAAATCTTCCAAGCCTCAAGTAAAAAAAAATGTATGTTTATAAAATAAAAGTGGGGATTGCTTCTAAATTCATCTAGATTATATAGTACTACACTTTATTTAATTAGATTAGATTAGATTATTTTAATCTTCCAGACAGAAATTGAGATTTAGGGTTGAACAATTTTGCCAAAAATTGAGATTGCGATTAATTTCATCCAATATTGCTCATTTATTTCAATCTTGCTTTACACTAGCCACAAGAATGAAGATGTTTCACACCAGGCCGTTATCTTTTTCATGACCTTGAAAGCTTGTTGGTCCAGAGTCCGTCGTTGCAGGACTTGTTACTGTTGTGTGGAAAAGTTCTAGCTGCAACTCTCTCTTCCCCTCTGTGTGGTGGTAAACCCACCTTCAAGGGTATTACTGCCCCCTGAAGGGCTGGCATAAGAAATTTAGTCTTACTCAGTTAAATGTCATGTCATTAAAATTGAGTGCCTCTGCGATTTAAAGATTAAATTTTATGAAATTGCAGTAATGTTGCAAATACAATTAATTGCCCAGCCCAAATGGAGTTTAGCTTAAATAACTACAGTCTAGTCCAGTTTTCTTATGCAATTACTGTTTACATGTTCGTTTCTTGGGATGGGAATGGAAAACCGGTTCCTGTTTAGAACAGGTTCAGTGTGTTCCAATTCCATGGCACCGTTTGGCAGCTCCCTTAACGGTTCTCTTAACGGTTCCAGGCAGCACCAGAGCCTAGCTCTGACTTACGTCATGTTTTCTACGTATTTTACGGCATGTTTTTATGCAAGTTACGCACACGGCATTCAGTAAGCAAGTACGACGCGACCAGGCGCAAGTCTAGAAAAGCAAAACAAAATAATTGGCCCCCTGTCCGGTAAACCGATCAAAGTTTGGATGTGAAGTGGCAATAATGTCGCAGGAGGAAATACATCCAACATGCAGAAACACCTGCACACACAACATGGTATACATTTTAACGAATGCCGATGCTTCCGGACAGAAGCTAAAGTTACGACCAGCATGGAAAGCAACTCTGGTGGTAAGTAGCTAGTTTTATACCACTGGCTGTGCTTAATGTGGTTCCTAGTAAATCATATGCCATTCCTGTAAATAAACCAATTTCTTACCTCTCTTTGGGGTTATTAAACATGCTACAAAGTTGCTCCAGAGTTCAGGGAGCGAGAGAAAGGTACCACTCGTTTATTTAAATCAGGGGTAGATGAGTTTATTTCCCGAAAATTGTACAATAATGCATTTTCATTAAACGGATGCCTTCTCCATTAGATTTAGATGACTGTGATGAGACGGGTAACCTGGCTGGCTCAGAGGCTGGCAGCTCCCGTTCACTGCCTTCTGTTTTCGCCGAGGCAGGCAGAAATAGAATGTCCCTGGCGAAGGTAGACAAATGTCACCGTTCACTTACCAAGTTCCTTGTTTTACAGAATCGTTAAGAGAATCAATAAGGGAACCAGAATCGAGAAAATCATATCAATTCCCAACCCTATTCATTTCACAGTAAGAGATTTAGTTCTGTTTTCCCTGAAAATGCAACAGTGAAACAATTACAGTGAGTTTTTACAGGGCTAACATGTTGGACCATGCAGTCCTACATGGATATTTGGTTTGATTCACAGAGAAATCTGCTGATATCATGCAATTTTTAAATAGCAATTTCCAACTTGTTATTTATTTTTGAATGCATTTCTGCAGTTAATAACGGCTGTGAGAGACTTTGAGCCAATAGAATTCCACTAGACAACAGGAAGGCTAAACAGCTTGAGCCTTTTCAGCTTTCAACCTTTGTCTGTCATGGAATATAGAGGATCTGCCTTTTCTCTTTGTAGTAGCTTCATCTGTTCCTGTTTGGCTGTGACGCCATCCTGGAGACGGCTGTCAGCTTTGCTACTACCATCAACCCCTTTGTTTAGAGATGTTGGAGCTCAGCAAGTTTTTCGGTGTAGTCCTGTTTCTCTGACTGTGATTAACTGGATGTGCTCTCTTTCATCCTCTGACGTGCAGCTGGCTTGGCACTCTTCTGCCTGGCTGTGTGTTTCCTGAATGGGGCTGCCTGTGGAGCTGGTTGACAGTTGCTTTTTGTATCTCTGCTTCTTTCTGTATGTCTGCTTCTGTCTCTTTGAACCCCAGTCGGCCTCAGGAGATGGTCCCTCCACCTGACCTGGTTCTGTTGGAGGTTTCATCCTGTTAAAAGGGAGTTTTTCCTCCCCACTGTCTCTATATGCATGCTTGGTGTGAGGGATTGGTTTAAAGTCAATGAGTTGATGTTATCAGCTGGTTTTCCTTAGATAGAAAATGTTGAATCAATCTGACTTTATAATCTGGTTGAACTGTCTCTATAGAGTGCCTTAACATGACATTTTGTGAATTGTTGCTATATAAATACACTAAATTAAACTGAAATAGAACTAAACAACCCTCTGAGGTTTGGAGTGATTTCTGAAGGCATTTGGTTAGACTCAGGTATCAATGTAAATACATTTTGCATTTTTCTACTTGTGAGGGAGAATCCTTAAAATTATCAAGTAATTTTAATGATTGATTTACACAACTTTGTGTTGTTCTATCATATGAAATCCAAAATGAGACAAGGACACAAAGGATAAGCTCCTGAGTAAGTCTCCATCCTTTTTATCATAAAAGTGATTGGAATATAAACTATATATTAATAATAAGAACAACAACAGCAATACATGAAAAAAGTTAATCTCTCTAAATAAAGGTCATGAGAAATAAGCTGTCAATATATTAGACGCAATAAGAAAACCTGGAACATTTCAGTGTGCTGTTACCTTTATTTTGATCAGAATCAGAGCTGGATAAGTGGCTGCCGATAATTTTGTCAATTATCGTACAACTTTTTGTTCACATAATTTTCTATAAATATAAATTATTCAAATGCTAGTGAGGTCTGCAGGGATTTGGTCCTCTCTAATTATTAGTGAGATACCATATAAGACTTCCTTCTAGCATTTATTTAAAGTAATTAAAAGTCAACCTTTCCCAGTCTCCTCTAGAGAAAAAATCCTAAATTATTGCAAGCAGAATTAAATGATCCGGCAACAAAGGATCTGAAACACAAAGTCTGGCTTTGGATAATACTACTAAGCCATTTATATGTACCTTTAGAAAATCTCTCTGGAGTTCATAAAAAGTGACCAGAGTAATTCCCAAAGAGGATAAATAAATATAATGTGTGTTTTATATACAATGCACAGCAAAATGGGATTTACCTGATAATTTGGGTGATGCAGGAAGTAATCTGGACATCCAGCCACCGCCATCGTTTCTGAGACCTCTCAGTAACTTTTTTAAGGCGTATAGAGAGTTTACCCAGTGAAAAGAGCAGAACCTGTGAAGATAGATAAGAGGGAGAGATAAATGGAACGTTGTAATTTTAACAGGAAATTGTAAAAGTAGAAAAAAGTACTGCCATTAAGTCTGAAGACAGAGGTGGGTAATTTCACAAAACAAAGAGGATAAATTCTTAGTTCTGAGCTTAAAAACGCACTCAACCTGCTATAAATGTTAGGGATGTTACTGTATCAGTGCATGCCAAGAATTTAAATCTTTGCTTTCTAGATTGCTGAAAGAAGGCTAGTACTCTTTTCCATAAAGCCGGGCATACCCGGTACAATATTTTCAACCATACAACTCAAACTGTATGACGAAACCGCACGGTTTGAAAGTTCCCAGCTCACGATGCATGTTCTCACACTGTGCGGCGCGACGCTCTGATGCGACCTTACGACAGTCAACTGAATTTTAAACATGTTTGTTTTTCTCCTGACTTTACGATTCCTGATTGGGAGGTGGTCCTGAGAGGCTGATCGGCCCTGGTTACCCCCTGTATAATATACGATGCAGGACGCACGATCAGGCTGAAAGTCGGCCCCATCAAAGAATTCTCATATGACTGGAGAATCGGCCCGAAAATGGCAAAATATCGCAGTGTATGCCAAGGACTGGGAATGCCATACAGCTAAAATGAAATTTCCCTTTTTTATGTTTACTACTGGTATTAAAAGTAGTAAGTATTATCTATAAATATCATAACACAGTGAATTGAAACCTGAGGTTACCATGCTTTAAAATCTCACACCATTCTATGTGTAAAAACAACTATCATTCGTTTCAGTTTAACATTAACCTTTTAAACTATCAACTGAAATGTGACAAATTTCACTCTAGCTGCAAAAGCAAACCAAACCCAAATATGGTGGGCTGTGTTAGGACGCCAATGCCCTGGCAATCCTCGGTCAAAACAACCACGTTTTCAACAGTGAAACTTTATTTGAAGATCTTAAAGTGGGTAGCCTACTAACCTCCAGGCACTGCTGCCGCTGCTAAACAAACACCTGTAAACACTCAACCAAAAATACCCTGCCGGCATATTTCCAGATCTGAAGTTAGACCCTGAGGAATATTTAGAGCCAAGCGGCTCAGGCGTATAACTGTGATGGGCTTTTATAAAGCAGTTCATGACCCCAGGTTGGTTTTTAAAAACATGAGCTGTTCTTTCAGAGGCAGCTAACATTATCTCGTGTTTGCATTAGCGGTTACTGCTGGGTTGCCCATGTGGCCTTCCAGTGTTTATAGTATATCTGCGCATTTCTACTTTTACATAATGTCCTGCAGGGATAAGTGTTAGCCTTGATTAACTGCAAATTATCTGCGAATGAATGCACATTTGTAAATAAACTGTGATATGTGTCTCTAAAAGCTATAGCTGGGTTTATATCATGAGGAGAGGACACAACACACCACATACATATGTTTCATTGCTCAATAAATCAGCCCTATTAAGAAAATGGCTACAGTGGGTGACATTAAATACAAGAGTTCGAAGTATATTGTACATAGAAAAATAAATGTGAATCAGAAACAAGTGATTGGATTTCTAACTGGGGACATGCTTGTTCAAGAAGACAGAAAGTCAGTTTAGTAGCTCATAAATCCACCTGCTAAAATGAAGAAGGACTGAGAAGGACTTAATATTCAAACGCTGATCTTACAATTAAATCCATTCATGTTTTAATGAAAGATCAGTGTGAATCCAGCGCAGTTTATATTGTTAGATTGACAGCTGAGCAAGTTTAACTGAAGTATTAAAAAATATACAGAAATTCTTTTTAATGTAGTGCATGTAGTTTTACCAGTACCTATTATCCTTCTGACATAACTGGAAGAATCGTTAAGAAAATGGAAATGTTCAAAGAATAAGTCAAAATTACTTTGATACCATTATCTCCTATTTAACCATATTATAGATTTTTAAGCTTTTGTGAAGGGATTCCTTTGAATGGGAAATAGGGCTGAAACAATGAATCGGACTAATCCATTATTGAAATAACCGTCAACTAATTTAGTAATCGATTAATCCTTAAATGGAGTATAGAGACTGTAAAACATGCCTTTAGCTAACAGAGCAGTAATTATATCAAAACTGTAAACAAATAAAGTATGTAAACACTTTGCGATAAAAAAAACTTTTTGGTCTGTCAACATGTTCAATCCAGAGCTCCTCAACTGGAAACATTTCAGTTTTACCTGGTTTACTTTGGAAAAAAAATCTTCTATCGAAAAATATTGGACAGATTAATCGATTTGCAAAATAATCGTGAGTTGCAACCCTAGTCAGAAATAATTCCCTATCAGTACGGTATATACGGCGAAACATAGAAACCATTAAAAAAAAGAAAAAACATGGCAGCATCCCTAAAAAGACTGCATAATATGAAGATGAAAGAGTGATCCGTGTGCGTGTTGCCTAACAGAATGGCACAGAAGGACATTTTGTCACTTTCGCATTATTTACAGACAACCAGCTCACAACAAAAACTAAGCAAGCTGACAGTAGGCCATGGCATGCTTTACAAACAGGCACTCATTAAGGCGCACAAATTTAGTCACCATCTATCTGGGGTAGAACTGTACACAAGGTTGTTTTACCTGAAGTAAGAAGCAGATTTATTTCCTTAAAATGAATACTTTAACCTGCGGGTGTAGCACTTGAGAATTTGCAAAAACATAGAAAAGGGTTCAAACATCCCATGTAACTACAGAAGAAGTTTCAAAGTTTTCATACAAGCCTCAGCAACTCACCATGATGAATATACTGATCCAATATGCATGCATCTAAGCTTAATTGCTCCGCTGACACAATCAAAGCCATTCCTGTGCAGGGATTAGACTTTCTCTGAAGCCTTTGATTCAATAATTTCCACTTGAACAGAGCTCTGGGATCTAAGCATCCATAGTCCTGACAGCTCAATTACTGTCATAGAGGAACTAGGGGACTTCGGGGTGCAGTGCCTGTGCTGAGCCGGGAGGTTACAGCATTTGGATTAATTAAAGAAATGTTTGCTCAACCTTGCATAGGGGATAATGTTAGACAGGGAACTTTAACTACAACGGTAGACGTGAATCGCAAATCTATATTGTCCAAAAACAAGTTTGCTGAATAAATTTCTGTTATGTTTTATCAAAATATGCATATATTTCTAGAAAGTCCATTTCTATTCAAGCAAATAACGTTGTATGATATGGATTGTTTTAGCTCTGACATGTTTTTTTTATTTTTTCAAAAGGATTCGGAGAGACTGGACAGCTTTGTTTTACCATTATAGTCATACAATGACTGCAATAAATCTGTGTTTGTATTATTCAATAAAAATGTATAGGATCGATTTAATCAGCCATGTTGTGAAAATAGTACACTGTATTTTAGGTTGACTGGAACTATAACTGGTTGTATAATTTTTTGTCAGCTTAACTGGTTTTCAAATTCTCTAGTTGGACCTTAAAGGTTTTTTAAAATTAATATTTCAGCACAGTATGCCGCCATCTTTTCCTATAGCAAATTAGTTTTTTCACCAATCAGGAAACACTCCCCCCCCCAAGAGTCACAGTGTTGTTTTTAGATGTTGGTCGAGCAAATGTCACCGTGTTGTCTCTATAATTTAGAACATCTGCAGCTGACATGAAAGCAAACTTTCTTTTTCTTCCAAACCAGCAGGAAGTGTTGGTGCGAACCCGGCATCAATCCCAAAGCACAAATTGTCCTAGGTAGCAACCGATCCTTCCTGATCAAAGTGCAGCAGCTTCACTTATTCGCCTATTCTGGCACTTTTATAGTAGAAATATTAAATGGAAATATCTTTTACTGTCCGACAATGAGGAAATTTAGGTCTGCCAGAAGCAAAGTGTTTTTAAATTGAAGTAGATTCACAAATTGATAAAGAAATATATCTATATAAAAACAAAGAAATGGGAATAAGTGATTTACAGTGAGGTTGCAATGTAAAAAAGATAATACAGTACAAATTCATATTACACCAGAGATAGAAAAGGGTAACGTTAGTCTGGCACTTCAGAAAACCAGTACTAAACATTTTCAGCCATAATGTGAGTTTAATGAAAATGTAATTCCATGTGTTGAATGAGAATAGTCCATCATCGGTTGGCATGTTTTAAGGAAAACATGCCAAATTAGGTAAACTTCGAATTGGAGAAACTCACGTTTGGAGAAAATAGATTTGTAAAGTGCTGTTGGGGAAAATGAATAAGAGAGACTGCAGTGTGTGTTTCATTAATGAGTGTAGTAGGAATGATTTTAATGAAGTATTGCACTGGAATTTATTATGGAAATATTGTACAAAATTCCACAAAAGTTGTCTAAGGCTAAAATCTTTACTTGAATGGCTAATATTTCTGCCATGAAGTAGTTCTGCTGCGATTAGCCGACGTAATCGATGATGATAATTTGTTTTTTTTTTTGTTGCTTAACATTTTTCATCAGCCTTTTTTTTTGCCTATTTTTTTGGTCTGAGCAAACAGCTCATCTAAGTTCAGGTAATTAATTTTTTTTTGCTTGCCGTCACCATCCCACGGCTACTCTGCCAAGCCCCAGCATTTGGGATTGTTCTTGGAAATTACTCGTTAAGATTAGTCAAATAATCGAAAAATAAGTTGAAAGATTTTCCTTAGAAAATTAGTCCTTAGCGACAGCTCTACCACTAACAAAAAAATCCTTATTGGAACAATGTCCGAAATTCACTCAATATTTCAACACCCAAAGACATACACAAAAAAAAAGGCAATCTTATGACACAAAATATTATATAGGACTAACTTTAGTCATATTCAACTGTAATGGCAAACTCTACAGTTACTTCATAAATGCGAGACCCGCTACTAAGTAATTATTAATAGTAATTTCTAAGGCAATACAAACAAAAAGATTGAGACTTTCAGTTCGCAGATTATAATAAATAAAATTCTTAGGAATAATACATTACATTTCTGCCAGTAAATTCCTGTAATTATTACACAATGTAGCTTAACAGTATC